TAATACAAGCCATCATTGTAATGAGTAACCAGAATTTTCGTTTGCAGAGTAAAAATAAAGCATATTTGTTTAAAATGTGACAACTTCGTGTATTGTTCATTGAAAATGATATCATTTTTGGAAATTTTGTCACGATACCCATTCCTTGGGCCAGATAATTCCAGTCGATTCTTTAATGATAAACATTTCACGTCACGGAAACTTGTAAACCAGAACAAGACCAGCATCTAAATTCTTTTCCACGAACCGTTTACTCCTATGAAAAGAGGAATTCCCCTCCCACCCCCGCCCCATTGAAGCCGTTTTTTTCCCGAGGAGGGGGAAGGCCTTGGTTGGATACGGGCCTGATCATTATTGCACAGTTCTTTTTTCAATGTCATCATTGACCCATTTTTTGTTTGGATAAAATTCTGCGCCAGAGACAAATTTGCTGAACGGAAAAATTGATGAGTTTCACGGAGTGGTTTTGTGCAATCGTAGATCAAACGATTTTGAAGTGAAACCGTTGGAGATGAATAACGTAAAAGTGAGTGATGAAATGAACGTTTTTGAGCTTCTTTCGATTGGCTCGGCAGCAGTGTCATGCTTGTCACGTTTGGAAACTTCCCAGCACCATGATAAAATGCCGTAACACTAATATATTAATCGGCTTGCCTGAGTCAGGCATCCTCCGTAAGGATTAATAAAAGGAACTTGTTATAGAAAAAAGAAATGATCACAATGGAGAAATCAGTGAAAAACATGATGAATATAAATGAAACTATGTAGCACATCAATCTCCTGCAAGCCATTATCCGTCATCGTCGTTCCAAATGAATTCATTAATGACGGCTGAACTATGAGGATGTAATAGAACGTTGATATCTGTTGCCATAAAAAATAACTGATAGTGAGTTCATTATTGTTTGGATTGAGAATGTGTTTATTTATAACAAATAAAGCAATGAATGATGCAAAAATTAGTTGCTCAAAAGCAAATTTTTGTGCTCAACAGAACAACACTAGTGATTTCGTACTTCATTTTATGCTTGAGTTTTTGTGCAAACACCTCATTAGTTGGATGTACTTGATTTTTTGATAAACACTATAATATTTAAGCAACTCAATAACTATTCAGTGCATCTTTCGATTGCATTCATTGATTCAAATTATAATACAGAATAAGCATAGCAGATGTCAAGTACCACTCAGATCACGCCTATTAGTTTCAGAAATGCGTTAACGCGAAGTTAAAATGCGTTAACTTTACTGGAAATTGAACAATTAAGTGTGCAACTCATAGGCCCTCATTTCTCGTTGAACACGATCGAATATGCGTAGAAAATGAATGTGTTGATTGTTATGTGATTTTATTGTCTTACCTTTTTTGCTAGGTTGGTGAGTTTGGTAGACTCAGAGCAGTATTTATTCGAGGATTTGTTGGCTTGATGTGAACTTGATGAAATATTTCTAAGCGACTCTAGCACAGGGCTGGTTTGGTCTAGATCAGTGCTCCTCAATTTTTTTTGTCTCCCGCACCCCTTGAAAATTTTTAAAACGTTCTCGCACCCTTCATAACATCCACGGTGTACATCGGGTATCCGTAGTGTAGTTAAGGTGTACCATTAGAATACGTTTCAGCCTTTTCAAAAATACATACGTTGAAGTCCAACTCGCTTTATTTATAATGTGTGCGTTGAAATCCGCCCTCGCCTACCTTAATGTATAAGAAATGAAATGTTATCATCACGCACCTCCTGGAATACTACCCCTGGTCGAGATACCCTGCTGTTGATTAAGCAGACATGGATTGCCCACTACATACTTTCCATTCCACGTAACTCTCTCCCAATATCCCATACAAAGAATGACCATTCATAGCACAAATCACTCAATTTGGTCAACAATCCGCTGATGATCTTGGTTTCATATGATTAATATCGGTGTTCTATTGGGTATTTAATATCAGTATTTAATATTGGTATTTTCACAAGATTTACGGAGCCAGTCGGTGAAATCCGATAAAATTTTGCCGGATGAGCCCTCTTTATTTTCTCATCTTTTTTTTTCAAATTACTCTAGCAACAATATCGAAATTCAACAAACATTTTGGAGTGTTGCGGAATCGAACATATGCCCTCCAAGTTGACCAAATTCTCAAGCCCAGCATGGCCTCCCTCCCTACACCTGGGCCCATTTCACCATTATTTCAAATCTTTTTACTTACTCTCTTCTCTTAATTCACATCATCTATTTAGGCCGGCTTTCCGTGCTAGCCGCAATAGATTGCGAATGAATAAGTCTGAAGTTCGATCAGAATAACAAATTTCATAATCTTAAAAAGTTGGCTCGATCGGATTCTGACTGAACCCAAATTTCGTTCAGTCAGCATCCCTGGCAAACGATTATCCGAATGAATTGAAATTTTGCTGTTTTTCGCTCAGCTATAATCATATCAAAATGATTTATGACAATGTTTTCATTTTCATTGGATCTGATCAACTGGGAATGACTCTTCATCAATACATCTGTTTATACTTCGAATAACAACTCTCATGACGTGACTGTGCCGAATGCAAAGATCACGGCAAATTGCAAGCGATCGATTCGAATTCCAAGTTATCGTTTGAACGTTGTTGGTTGATAAAGCGACTTTATGTGTGCGCGATAAAATTTACAACCCGATAAAGTTGTAATTTTGAAATAGATATTACTCTTTGGGTTGTTTGTAAAGTTCGAACGTAAGCATCAATCAGATTTTGTGGTACACTAATAACACATATACATATAATCAGATCAACTCATCCACTGTTTTCGATATTCGTGCCGTTGTGTTCTTATTTACTGAGTAAGATCTGTGTGTCTGTGTGTTGTGGCTGTGTGCATAAGCTGACGTTGTAAAGCTCTCGAGATCGGATAACAACAATAGCGTAGCATACCTCACAGCTACTTCAACTACAACGATGGACAGCGCTCCGCAAGAGGATAGCACCAGCATGCCTAAGGTTTTACGTTTACTCTTTTATTTTACGTTTTGTTCCATTGTTCCATTTTGTTCCATAGTTGTAGTAGTTAATTGCGTTTATTAACTGATTAGGAAGCATGTTAATTACCAACCATTCTCAGCTATGTTCTGCGTTCTTATTGAACAATTCACTGCGTGTTAGTCCAAGTTCCCTCAAATTTTGACATTTCATTTGGAAGTGTATATCATCATCAGAAAGTCTCGGTCTTGCAAAACACTTTGATTGTTTTATGCAACGGAAGGAACTGCTGTTAGCTCAAAATTGCGTCATCTGATTCCGACTGATATTTCGCTCAATTTTTCGTTTTGGAAACAAAGACTGACAGTTCATTCTGAAGATAGTAGGAATCTTTATAAAGTTTGCTTTTCTTCAAGGCTTCTAGGCAGTTTGCTTGGACTTTTTTACTGTTGCTGATGCTATGACACGTCTTTTCTATATTCGGATGATCCGCATGAATATTTCGATGACTAAACATCCTAAATTTCGTCCACAATGAGTTTTCAGAAGAGGTACGGGATGCGTGAGCCGTGAGTTTCAAGATGCATCTCAAACCAAAGTTCGAATTTAGGGAGAAAAATTAGGACATTCCCAAAATGAGTATTCTAAAAGGACAAAGGGCATACAGACACATCATTAGAGTAATCGATGAAAATGAGATAATGATAAAGTGGATCGAAAAATTGTTTCGTGATAGTTTAAAAAATCATTGTCTGTTTGTGTTCTCCATAACAGTGGTAAATCTTGATCACAATTCGGAGGTTTCGGGAGTTGCCGTATTATAGCTAAATTTCATCATTTCCAAATTCACTAAATCTGACAAGAACGTGATGAATGAAGAGGGGTTTTGATAGTGCCAAGTATTCACTTATTCATCAGTTTATCACATCATATTACTGCGAAAATTCTTCTGAATTCGTAAAAATCCGTTTGAGAAGTCAACAGAAAAACGTTCGTCGTAATAGACAGCTGTACGAATCGTTTTTAGTTTATGTGCTATAAGATGATCGCGTCTAAAATACTGAAAAGCAACTATTTTTTGTTTTGTGCTAGATTTTTTGAGCAATAAAGCGCATAGGATCAATACTCAAATATGAGTGTTGATGTATGGTAACAGTAACCGAAACGTCACCATCTTATTGATCAGTAAATCTGAGATAGAAGATTACTTGTTAATGATTGATTGATTGCTCAAGAATATTGAAATCATTCGAAATTCAGGATAAAAAGGCTGAAAATGGTGACGAAACATCGGCAGAAATGTCAGAGCAAAATACAGTTGTTGAAAAAGTTAAAGACGATAATGGGATGATATTCTATAAATGTCGATTCTGTGGTCTCACCTTCAACTATATGACCACGTTGAGGGCGCACGAAAGAGTGCATAACATTGATCAGGTACGTTGCGACACCACTGGATTGGTGCTTGAAGCTGTCAACATTCTCGTGCTTGCTTGCAACTTGTACTCAAATAATGCTCTGCAAAATTCTAGATACCGTATGAAAGCAATTGTATTAATAGCATTTGCTTTGCAAATTTATCACGCATTGCAGACTTTGCATTTGCAAGTTTTACACATCCGTTTTATGTATAACTTAATATACCGCTCGGAACGCTTGTTGACCTAACCAGATCAGTGGCTTTCAAATACCTTCATTCCTTCTGTCATTAGAAATAAGCCATGATGATTCACCTAAAGCAGGTGCAGTTCTTCGTCTTGCGTGTTTTCCTAGGATTATGGCGTCTGAAGTGAAGTTTCAGATAAAATTCGACGTTAACAATTTCCATATTTCAGCCTTACAAATGCAACAAATGTTCGGAATCATTTCATTTTTTGTGCCAGCTGGAATATCATGCCAAGCAGCATTCAGGTTATACGGTGCATCTTCATTTCAGATTTAACACTGAATCTTTCACCATTCAACATTTAACAAATCGTTTTTTTTTTCTGAAAAAAAAGAGTTAAAATTCCTCATGAATGAGTAATCTTTAATGTCGTCAATGAGTTGCTATCTACCTTGAATCATTCTCAGCAATCAATTCGCTATTAATAGACTGCAATCTGTCACCTCTCATTATATGGTGCATCTTGTCAGTTAATATTTTTTCGCTAAGTCAATTTACCAATTGAACCCTCAAGAAAAATCGATGCAGAAAAATCGTTCGAGTCCTAAACGATAATATTATAAATAATGCAGAAAACTATATAGTCTAAAAATTTTCCAAAAATCATGTTGAGAAATTCCGAATTCTTGGAAGGTTCAGAATATGATGATATAATGGGAAGATCTCTAAATTTACGAATGATTCAAAATATGTCGCGAAAATATTTGAAAAACCACTAAGAGTTAGACATTTCCATCAAAAACGCTTCGATAACTATTATCTTTTAACAGATCAACGGTATAAAAGTTCGATATTAACTTCGAACAGGATATTATTAAAAAAACTACCGTTTCTCATCACTGTTTTCAGCTCAGAACAGGTCACTGAAAATGATTATGTTTAGATCAAAAGGGTTACAAATGTGAATGTGGAAGGACATTCCATACGTATACAGATCTGCTTTATCACAAGCACCCGGGCGAAGATGATGATGAAGAGACTACCGATAATCAGTTGATTGTTGTTAACCGCTCCGGACAGCGCATTCCAGAAACTGAATTCCCGATTCCGAGGTTTGTAGAGAAGGGCTACGAGCCAAAGCATCCACTGAAAGTCTACTCGGACGTACGCTTAAAGCCATACATCTGTCAATACTGTTCGAAAAGTTATGCTGATAGTCGGTAAGTGTGGTTGGTATTTATATGCATGAACAGATCCGTCGCATGCTATTTAGTCCGTGCTTTGCTGGATACTACTACATGATCGCATAGCTATCATCTTGCGATGTCGAAGTGAGACACTCTTATTGCGAGCACTGAATTGGATTGCCGATGGCTTCGTTCAAATTACCGTATGACATATATGTTCCGTGAAATTATATTTCACTTGACGAACGAATTATCTCTAAAATTGAAGAGTGCACTCAAAAAGTTAACTTTCAATTAGTTGACTTCTTTCGTGGATTGCTCTGAAGTGATACTTGATGTGGCATTTCAGTGGGTTGTCGTATCACATGTCCAGTCATCGCGGTGAACGGGCATTCAAGGCGAGCGCGTCACGTTATCTGATGTCAAGATCAACGAATTCATACATTAGTTCTGTCATTTGAAATGATTCTCATCTTTTTATTTCACTTCTTCCTTCGATATATTCTCAGTGATAAAAACTTCCTTTAAGGTCCTCTTTCAGACAAACTTTCATAGCAAGCATATGACAAGAACTACTTTCATCTTTCACTGTCAGTGGCTTTTCAATCATCAATCATTTCTAATGATAAATTCCCAAGAAATTTGATTGATTGTTTCTGGTTATTATTTTGGGTGATTGATAGCTGATAACTGGGAGAATATTAATGAAAAAATGTATTATGCGGATGCGTTATAATGCATACAGAAAATATTATAGTGTGCATGCATTGTTTTACGATGTTGTTGAATATGATGTAGAACATCTAACAATAAAAATGAATTTAATCGTGAGGTGAAGCTTCGTTTATAGGTGATGTTTGTATGTTATTGTTTGAGTGGGGAAGGCTGTATTAATGATAAATGAAGAATTTCATATGGATACTGGGCAATATTGTTTCGGAGCCTAGTGACAAGTTCACGCTGAAGATGAAGATTGAGGATTAGGTACACATCTGTGGTCTCAGTTGTGCTCACATTGGAGTTATTCGGTTACCTTGCGAACTTATCACAAAGACTGTCACTTGCGTTCTGTCGTTAGTGGTCATATGCGCCGTTAAGCTGCAACAGTTTGCAATTTTTATTTATATTATATCGTTTGGTTGATGAATTCTATGAATATACACATGACAATGGAAGTACGAATGGTTTGACACATCTCATAGACTATCCAAGTATTCAGCATCTTTTCTTTCCATAGATCTGAACGAACCTTCGGCCGGTGCATCAGCATCTAAAATTACATAGTTACAAATTATGAATTTCATTGCTGTTGCCATCTCGGATAATACCCTCAGACTGTCGGAATTCATTTGAGTGACGAAACGGAGCATTAATTCAATCGTTACCGCCTCAATCTAGCGCTAACTGTTCCGTAATAACTCATTCGATGGAAATGTGAAACGTGCACTTTATTTGATTTGAGTGAGGCTGACAAGCTTATGTAGCGACTGAGACTAAGGATCAAACTCGATCTGTTTTTTTTTTCAAACTTCTTTTTGCATTGAACAAAGGAAGAGGCTCTGCAAATTTTGCGAATATCCCATTTTTCTGTTCGTATTATTTGCTGGCGATTTGATGAACAATGAAAGAATCATGACAGTATACAATGAAGTAAGTCACGTACTTACACAATTCGCTGCGTTCAAGTCGACTGTGCTGAAATCTGAAACGAACACAACATAAAACATAACAAAACAAACCCACACAATATGCAGTTTCAAAAGTGCCAACAAAGTGCGCAGTTTCTGCCTTATAACACTCCGTATTTTATACATCCATTTCGTTTTATCAAACAGCAAAACTTGTTGAAAAAACTGCACATAAATAATTTTGTATTGTATGGTATATCCATGTGAACGTGATGAAATCGCTGCTCTCTTTTCGTGTCTTTGGAGCAGGGTTAGGTAGCGTAAGGGAGGCAGGATCGTCCGCTCGAAAATCCTCCGCTCTCAGCCCTATTCTAGGTAACGGCTTCAAATGAACAAAATGATGCGTATAAAGGTTTCAACATCAAGATGCACACAAAAATACACAGCAATCAAAGAGTTTCGCTATCATTTAGTTCGTTCCTTTTTGATAATGAAAAAAGCACGAACCAAAAGCTAGCAATTAGCTAAATATCACTAGATGTGTGTATCATGTAATAATCACTTACCAAGACTGAAGTCTGCTTTCATCAGATGACTCCTCCTTAAACATTCTGAGAGAGGATCAGCCGTGTGCATTATTGGATTACTGTACATATCTGAAGGTGTTGATGCACTGAAAGCATTCTTCTATAAACTGACAGTTAATCTCAAATTAGTCATTCTCAAATCTTGTCGATAGCGAATGAATGTCAACAGTGCTAAGGAAATGAATTTGCGTTCTGCAGTGAACTTCCTCGATAGCGCTGCTGCCGTACGTTATCGAATGTAAGGATTTAAAATGAATACGAATGAATGACGCCAATAATCTCCGAACATAACTGAAAAACAAGTAAATGCAAGGCAAAGCCAACGTTGAAATGAAAACCAAAACAAGAACGAATAACCTAATGATATGGTCAAGGTCATCATCAACATCTAAACTCGGTGGTTCAGCGCTAATGAATGTAACGGATTCGCTGTCGAGTAATCCGTTGACGAAAGAACTTTTATCATCAAGAAAGTCTTCAGGCTTTGTCATTTCCCTGGTTGAAATTCGCGTCGATGGTGGACTTGTCACTGTTGTTTTTACACTCAGAATCTCATCCAAATCTCGATCGAACTGCGGCATTCGTTCACTGCTCATCATTGTCAGGACGTTATCGGGCATCGGTGCTTCCACATAATCACTACTCACTTTACGCCTGGCACACGCAATTATATCTTCGAGGGTTATTGCTTTTCCAGTCGAACGTCCACTCGCATTCCTCTCATCGTTAACCTCTGCAGGTAAATAACATTTGATGAGCACTAGTCATCAATACTGATGAAAATTATCACTTTGAAAGGGAAGAACATTTGCAGGTGTTCAGTTAAACGGTGAAGAAAGAGTGAAATCACAAAAGGAAATTTTAGGTTGAACACACTCAATAAAATTCAAATTTGTAAGAGTTGTTATATCAACGAAGAACTAAAGTAAGCTCATATTTATTAGTATGTCATTTCATTTTGTAGCTGTTCAAATTCTTCGAAGATATTTTTCCTCATCGCCTACTCAATAATCTGATTTTTGCGTTTTGAGATGAACCGATAAAATGCGCGCGATTGGATTGAGGACTCCAGTTAAGCTACATCGCAAATCCAGCGCCTCAATGAGTGGTTAGTTGAAGCTCGAATAAAACTGGATGTCGGTTTTATAACAAAATTTCCCGAATACGAATCTTTCAAATAACGATGGCAGTTGCTGAAGAATATCACATGAAGTACCTAAAGTCAAAAATTCTAATATTTCTGGACTATTCCATTGAATCAGATGTCTTGCAGCATTATTTATAGCTCGTAGACTCTGTTAAGATTTTTGACGACAAAGACACCACAACTTTCATGTGATATTGATCACATTAAATAAGTAGCCAGGAAACAACGGCTTAATATTATTTCAAAAATGATTATTCAGTCGTGAAATTCGAAAATGATTGATCATCTCCAGCAAATCTGCAGCATCTAAGTCAGCATAAATTGTAAATAAATTTGACAGAAAAAAACGAAACNCGCTGATTTTGTAAATTCATGTCATTTGCGATTTGGTGTTGGCGAAGATGCTGTTGAATGTGGAACAGATGACAATTCGTTTGATCACAATTCGGATTCGTACAAAACGGACTCAGTCGCGTTCGTTCCATTCTATACATTTCATGAATAGATCGATTTATCCGTACCGATCAGTGGAGAATTGACAGTTCGTTAGTTGGTGAGTAGCCAGTTGATGACAAATAATAAATTTCATCCGATAGCAAATAATGGTAAATGCAGAACAATCATCTGATGATACTGAAGAGGAATATTTGGACGGTTGAATGAATGCTGAACAATGGTAAAATATCAGTAAGTAGGGACGTGCATCAGCGAGTAATGCCGATGAGACTATTTCGGATGAGTATGCAACGGGATGATGCACAATCTTTTAATCATATACCCATTCATCGTCAGATAAATTACGTCAAAGTCAACGCTTGCTTAGCAACGCTTTATTCATCATCATTTGCTATTAATTAACACATTCTCGTTCGATTGTAGCTTTTATATTCGAATGATAACATCTTCATCAAGCATTCTTCCATAAGGAATCAGTTGCTTTGTTATGTGCATATCAAGGCTGACTCCTGATCTTTGCGCCTCCGTCTCTGTGGTTTTCTCACGTCACGAGAACTGGTTCTTCAGAAAAGTGTTGAAATAAGATTGCCGCAAACGGATATTCTCACTCTGGTCAGTCCTAGCGTCTCAAAGCAGTGAAGGTAGACTCGAGGCCTTAGGTGGATGATTTGTCTCGGCCACTCAAGTGCTGACCAATGCCTCTTACGTTGGTCAAGTAAAGACATTACTTCGTCATATTTCAGCACGTCTCTTTTTGATATAACGCGATAAGTGAGTGAAACATTTCTATTTTCACATAAAAGCAGAACAGATTATTTATTCATTTTCAAACTGTTCGAATGAAAAGTGAAGATGAGCTTGCAACAAATGAATTACCGAGCGAGTATGTATACTCTAACTCAATTCTGTTTTCCTTAAGCTTTTCCTCGTGTTCGTCGATTGCTATACTGTACCTTCCTCCTTTCTATGTCCACCTTCGAATTTCCCTTCTTCCCCGTTTCCACTTTCAAAAAGCTGAACTGCTGTAAATGTGCTAGGAACGAATTGTCGAAGAATCAAACAAGTGCACCATAAAATGACTGGAAGAATAGTTCCATCGGTTATTCCCGAGGGTCCGTACAAAGAAGCGATGATCACGGGGACGAGGTCTCCATGCCAACCTCAGTGTAATTGTATCGAATGCGATCGATGAGAGTTTCATGCTCTTTTTATCCTCAATCCTCATTCGTTATTTTTTGCCAACACATACATCTATGTCATCGCATTCGATTCAGATTTCTTCTA